ATATATGCATATATAGACAAGTCAGAATATTTCCTGAATAGGATTATACGATAGGATTATATGTAATATTCAATTCAAAGAAACTAGAAATTATAAATCTAATCAAAATGGTCCGACCGTTTCTTTTTCTTTTTACAACTTCTTAAAAAAAATATTATGACTACTCAAAACCCTGACCTTTCATCAGGTAAAAATTCATCTTTATGCAATACTAAAGACAAAAATAATTTTCTGACCTCGTTTTTTTTCTCCACGAACTTTTGAAACCTGACGAGCTTTCATCATATGAATACGTTATTTTAATTCATTGTTTTTTAATAATAAAAATGGCTTTCAATTTCGGTAAATGTTAATGTTTTTTTGCGAAATAAAAGATTTGCATTAAATTATGTCACAAATGTAAAATACAATCGCTTCAGAAATTTGTGTTTTGATTGAAGTTAAATTCATTTATGCATTTTTTTTCAGATAAAAAATTATACCGCTGCTGCTGAGGTATCAGAAGACATATTAAAATTAGGTGAGATTCAAATGACAACTATTGACACATATTTTTGCTATGTCACATTTAATTTGCCCTTTTTAGTACTATGCTGTTATTTTTATAATAAATAACAAAACCTAAAGGAACAGTTAAACTAAGCAGCTCTTCACTATTTGAAAAGTGCAAGATGCAGGTAGTTGTCCTTTCCTAATTTATTACATTGCAACAAATTGACTCATTACAGAAATCAATTTAAAAATGAAGATGCTTTTTATTTTATTTTCCAATCTACAGCAAATTAATTATGGTATATTTAATTGTTAACTTCTACACTTTCGACTCGAAATTTAAAAAACTCATTTTTTTTTTTNTTTTTTTTTTTTTTTTTTTTTTTTTTTTTTTTTTTTTTTTTTTACAAAATTTCAACAATTTTGACTGAATAAGTAATAAACTCCCATATCATTTAAACATTTTTCAGTCTCGGTTAACTCAAAAATAATATATTACTGAACACAACGGTTCTGTAATGACAACAACTTATAAGCCGCTTTTCCAGTGAGCTCGTAAACTTACATACGTATGAGTAACAATAAATAAATAAATATATTATTGTCAAACTCTCATATGCAATAAGTCTAACACTTTGGCTACTTTATCTCCTTTTAATTTAATTATAATCCAATAAGAATAATAAAAAAAAAATTCCAAATTTTTTAAGTACCATGCAAATTATTCACAAAATATAAATTATAGAAAGCTACCATGTAAATAATTGACATTACTTTCAAACATAGCTTTAATTTGAAATAATACCACTTTACACTACTTCATATTTGATAAATAAAATTGATAATTAAAATAGTGTTGTAGCCTAATTTAATCTACTCGTGTATTTAGTAGATAAAAACAATAAACTATCACCTATGGTTGATATTTATTTGCTAACATTTATTGTAGACCCGAATCACGTTCAAGCCAAAGCCAATCTGAAATTTTATCGTACACTGGAAGCAAGTATGGAAGCACCAATCGATGAAACCTGGGAAGATTCTATCCATGACGAGCAAGCTACAAAGGCCATGAATGCGTATAGCACATTATGCCGGGGGGAAAAAATAAAGGTATACAAATCTTTTGAAAAAATTTCCTAAATTCAGGGTGACTAGTGGTTCCTCAAAACTATTAGAGTATTATAAAATTTTCGTCGTAGAATGCATTTCGAGTTTTTTTTAAAAGTGAACACAATAATAATTGGTAAACTGATACACCCTCATTTGTGTTATGAATGGAGTGAAAATGTACAGCATTTTAGTGTTTGCTGAAGCAGATGCATTTTCTCTCCTTTGATGGTAAGTTAACTGCAACAACGCTGTCTCATTGATTTTTCTCTTTACACGAGTTAGAAAATACAACTAACAACAAGATGGTATAGTTAGTTTTTTTTTTGGGGGGGGGGGGAGATTTTGTTTTGAAAAAGGCTACATTTAAAAAATGCAGATTTTACATTTTTTTGAGAGTTTGAATGGCTATTTCTACTATAACCAAAGATAACCCAGGAAAGTGTTCGGCCTCAGTGCTCGTCCTTATAGTGAACTTTAATATTCAGTTGGGAATTTTTTAGGGTGCTGTTGTTTAACACATTCACGCCGGGAAAAGTGAAAATACTGGTACGGGAAAAGAGAAAATACTGGTAGAAGAACTATTTCAATATTAGATAATATTCGGGAGGAATTAATCTATTCTCAACAGTAACAATTTGCTGTAAGGAAATTTATCACGGCGAAGAAGCAATTCAATATAAAAACTGCATCCGTTAAAAACAATTGGTAGTTATGGATTTTCATAATTCCCAGAAAAAAACTAAAAAATGAAATTTATTGCTACCAGTTTTTACTCCGGTGCGCTGCCAAGAAGAGAAAATCTAGCGTGACCCACCGGTGGGTTAACTCCATTGCCTGCTCACCTCATTGCTCAACCAAAACTGTTATAAAATTCCAGATGAATGGGATAGGGGTCGCTTCGCGGCCCAGGTGCCCAATAAAATCAAAACACTAGGACTAGGACCGGTGGGTCAACCCGGTGTGAACGTGTTAACCTAGATTCTCAGAAAAAAAACCCGAAAATTTCACAAACTTTGACAAAACATAACTTTGGAAAGGAACAATGCCCCATGGAAATGAGTGTCCACCGCTAGGCAGTATTTTGGGGTACTGTTACTTTGTGTAGATAAACCTCTTGAAACATATTCATGTTTTACTTTCACTTGACTTTCACATTCACTTGAAGATTACCTTGCACTTTGAAATTTTCTACAAAAGTGGTATATATATAAAGGGTATAGAATTTAGGAAGAAAGATAATTGTTCAACTTACGATACTTTTGCATCTTATTTGTTTGCATGATTTGACTCAGCATGATTCAAAAACTCTAAAAGTATATAAATCATTTCTTTACAGACCTCTAACGAAAAACCACAACTGCATTGCTACTTTGCATCCAAAAATAGCGGCTACTTTTTATTACAACCATCCAAAGTTGAAGTTCTGAACTTCGAACCATTGCTTGTGATGTATCACGATGTCTTGAGAGATGGAGAAGCGGAAATTTTAAAAGCATTAGCTTATCCAAAGGTTTGAACAGTTTTTAATTCAACTAGGTTCTCTTTTTTATTTTATTCAATACATCACCTAATACTTATCAAAACACAAGGATACTTAACAAAAATATTTTAAACGTTTTTTTTCTTCCAGAATTTATTGTATTAGTATTCTTTTTTTAGTGCAACTATAAATATGTTTTATTAAAAAATAAATTGTTGTATTTTACGAAATAATGAGAATAACGGTCACAAACTTAGAATGAATGTAAGGCACATCACACATCAATTGGGTGCGTGCGACCCGCACCTGGCTGGAAAAAAAGCGTTCTTATTCACAGACTCAATGGTATTTCTATCTTCCAACATTTTATTTTATTTTACAACCGGCATTAACCCTTTCGGACCGACTATCATTGATACGTTCCAGCATAAAACCGTATTAACCAGAGTAAAAAGATAAAACTTGTATTCAAAGTATTTCTTTAGCAGTTTATTTGTGGGAGGAGTTATAATTGTTTGATTTATTTAATTCACTATTACTTTGTTCAAAATAAAACTATTTAGTTATACTTTCAATTAACATTGATTATATGTATGATTAAACCAACAATAATTAAAGTAAAAGCGAAGTAAGTCTGTCAAATTAGTAACGACTTCATTTAAGTTACCGTTTTTTATTAAATTACATCCTGATTCTGATTTTGTACGTATGCTTTTCTGAATCACCCGTCCCTAAGGGGTTAAACAGCCTACCGAATTCTAAGTTTACAATTATCAATGTTCAATACCCGTAGCCTAGTAATTTGGAACATACTAATTTAATTATTTACCTAGTAATTTTGAACCTATTGGAATTAGGCAAAGGAATTCCTGTATCAAACATTGGAAGAACCTAATCTTCACACAGGACTTTGTGATGCAGCTTACCCGCACTTGCGCTAAATAAAATGGAAAATTACTAAAACCTCCCAAATTTAGTCCAATGGCAAAGGGATTCTAACACATGATCCGTCTAACAATGAAAATATTATACGTCAACACTGTGGTCGGTACGAGCCGGAAGCAGAATTCATATAAACCAGTTTTCGCTGAGAATCGGACTAGGTTCACCTCTTTGGGAGGGGAGTGCTCTATCGCCTGAACCACCGCGGCTCTAGCTTCTTACATTCATTCCTTAACCCCTTGGGGACGGGTGATTCAGAAAAGCATTCGTACAAAATCAGGATGTAATTAAATAAAAAGCGGTAACTTAAATGTAGTTGTTGCTAATTTGACAGACTTACTTTGCTTTTACTTTAATTATTGTTAGTTTAATCATATATATAATCAATGTTAATTCAAAGTATAACTAAATAGTTTTATTTTGAGCTAAAGTAATGGTGAATTAAATAAATGAAACAATTATAACTCCGCCCACAAATAAACTGCTGAAGAATTACTATGATTACCAGTTTTATCTTTTCACCCTGATTGATACGGCTTTTATGCTGGCACGTATTTGTGACAGTCGGCGCGAAAGTAGAGTAATGGAGGAAGTTCACACGACTTGGAAAATCTCTCCGTCATAAGGTTAAACATATTTATGTCCACTTTGAATGTTGAGACGACTATCCTTGCAATTTGCTTTCGTGGCATTTTATTGCAATATCATATTACACGGTTGAACTGAAAGCCTGGTTGCTTTAGGCATAAAGATCTAGGCTTTTATTGCAAACATTAACCAGAAATGTTATCGTTCTAGGTAATGATTATATAAACAAGTCTTTACACAGATTTCCAGATCGAAAAATGAAAAAGTGGTATAAGAAATTGTATTGTTTTCTATTTGCGAATACTAGAATTCTTATATAATGTGAATAAATATTTCTAGATGCGAAGAGCTAATACTAAGAAATCTTCGCTTTCTTAAGTTCTATTTCTTCCAGGTGCGCATAAACCATGTAAGAGTTGCAAATATTTCCTTGACTATTCCCTAAATAGTCGCATAAATGGTTATAAAAGTGTCTATTTTTAAAAATCATATAAGACTATGTGTATGTACTGAAAATCAAACGAATAAATGAACCACCCTTAATAATTTTTTGATCTAATGATCAGATCTTTACTTTCCAGGACCCAATCTTAATGGTTCAATAGGGTGACCTCAAATATGCTAATTAAAAAGAGCCGATAACATTTTAAGTTACAAAATCTATCGCAAAAACTTACTTTCTCGGAATTAACATACCTTTTTTCACGTATTTAGAATTCTGACTTCCAAAATATGGTTCAATAGTTTGGACAGGAGAGCGATCCAAAGTTTGGTCCCTTTTGGATGTTAAATTTACTTTTTGCGTATTTCACTTCATCTTCTGAAATTTTTAAGCGAATTGAAAAAATTTTGCCCACAATTATAAAATTCTTTTTTCCGAAAACAATTCCAGTCGAAATTTAATTTTTAGTAAATATATATTATTTTAATTAATAATGGTCGAAAAAATTTTGAATTGCACAAATGTTTTCCCTATGTCAAAGAATTTAATTTTAAATGGCACATAATACAAAATTTGAGCGAAATTAGTCGAATAGTTCCTGTGATATTGAATTTTAAAAACACGTGTTTTTCAAAAATGCCTTTTTCAGGAACTTTTCGACGGTTTTCTCGTAAAATTTATATTTTCAATTTAAAATTACAATCCAAAATTACAATGTAAAATTTTGTATACCTTGCAATGAAAAAAATTTTCGACTATTATTAAATAAAATTATAAAAAATAATAAATATTTACAAAAAGTTATATTTTGTAAGGAATTATTTTTGGATAAATGGATTTTATAATTGTGTATACAGATATTTCAGTTTGCTTTGAAACTTCTCGAGACATGGCAAAATGCACAAAAAGTAAAATTCACATTCAGGTGTCCAAACTTTGGATCGATCCCCTGAACATTGGGACCATATTTCTCAAGTAACAGTTACCGGCTATTTTTGGCGAGTCAGAAATCAGGATAGGTAGAAAAAAAGATATGTTTATTCAGAGAAAGTGCATTTTTGTTTCTGATCTCATAACTTAAAATATCGTTCGCACTAATTAATTAGCGTATTTGAGATCATCCCCTTGAACCATTAAGATTGAATCTCAGAATACAAAGATATGATCCTTAGATCAAAAGTTATTTATGGTGATTCGTTTTTTATTTTGCGCATGGTACATGAACAATATATTTTGTCCTCCGAACAGCTCGTGCTGATTTTCGAAAAGCGGACTTCCCGTAGCTCCACCGAAAATAGTCAAGTGCTAGCATACCTGCCAACTTTCACTCCTTCCGAGAATGGATTTTCAGAGTGGTTGTAAAACAATAACCGAAAATCAATCTGATTCAAAAATATATTTATATTTTAATCCCGTTGAAATTTGCTTGCGTAAAGATTATTATGCTTTCATATATTTATTGTAATTATTCATATGTAGTGGTGGTCAAACTCATTCATAATTATAATTCAAAAAGTTAATTGAAATAACCTGAGTATTGCCACCACTTTAAATATGAAAATAAAATCCTCCGGAAAATCCTCAGGGCTGAAAACCTATATATATAAAGACGTAAAAGAGTAAAAACTGGTATCAAATAAATTTCATTTTTTAATTTTTTTCGGGAATAATAAAAATCTATAACTACCAATTGTTTTTAATGGATACAATTTTTATATTGAATTGCTTCTTCGCTGAGAAACAATTAATTACAGTGAATTGCTTATTGTTAAGAATAGATTAACTCCTCCTGAATATTATCTAATATTGAAATAGTTCTTCTACCAGTATTTTCTCTTTTCCGTCTCGTTTTCAGGCCTGTGCGACCTTCCTTCAGTCATGTATTAGACTTCTATATGTGAAATACGTTTCCAAATCTTTGAGGTAATCACAAAAATTTAATAATTAATTTTTAAAAACAAGGAAAATATTTTATAGAACAAATTTTGTTGCAGCTTGAATATTTTTGGTGGAACTTAATTATTTTAGGAGAATGAGGAATATATGAAATTGACATATATTTGGGACATTGAGGAATATTTGAAATTTTTTCAGGATCAATGATGAATAATTATTTATTTCATACTAAATTCTTTCACTAATGTTTCTTTTTTTTCTAAAAAAAAAAAGTTTGCAGAATCACCGATTCCGATAAGAAGCTCTGAAAAAATACAGTGTAGTCGTATTAGCAAGAGGTATGTTTCAACCTTTTTACTAAGTTTTCAAAGTTTTTACGTTTTTCAAAGTGGTTACGAAATAAAATTATGTTGACTTATGGATAATTTCTCATAAACGTTCTTGATAGTTATGTTGAATAAAATTATATTGCCTTATGAGCCAACATTTTATTAGTTCTAAAATCGCATAAATATACGATTAGATTTTTTTGTAGTTACATAATTTAATTAGATATAGTGGTGGTCAATATATTTTTTAAATAAAGAATAAAATAAAAAAGTCAAATTTTTGCTACAAGTATAAATATCAAATTCATGTCTTTCTGAAATCCCGAATGTGTAATATGACCTACCAGACTGTGTAGCGGTCAGGAAGCTGACCTTAAATCAGAAAAGTCCTTGGATCGAATCCAGGGCTAGGCATGAATGTTCTTTCCTTCTCTGTACTATCTGTCCTGTCTGAGGGAGCAATGTTGACCCACCTTATATGGTCCCCCTAAAAAAGTGGCCAACAAAACTGCCCTTCCGATGCCTGAATGACGAAAGGTCATTCTCCAGGTGAGCCATGGACAAAAAAAGGTTAAAAAAAGGATTCAATATTAAAGAAAGTGCTCTAAACTCCTTTTTTTAATGGCGCAAAAATAATATAAGATGTAATCTTTAAAATATATTGGAGAAACAGAATCGTCCGTAGTTTAATTTTTATCAATAACTAATGAGGTTTTAAACTAATGAAGAAACTCCATTTCTTAAATGACACTCGAAATATTTAAATGATTTTTACTATCGGAGGTTGAAATTTTTACTTTTACCCCCTGTCCAATATTTTAGATGCTAGCATAAACGGACACATGCACACAAAGACAGACAAACACAAAAGACAAAATATTCATTTTATTATTACAGATTGTATGTGTTACTATTTGGCCGAAATAAAGACATTTTGCATATAATTAAACTTGTTCATCCAACGAAAGTTTCAAATAGAACATAATTTTTAAAAATTTTCGTTTTTTTTAAAAAAATTTTATTTTATTTACAAACGGTCATATTTTAAAAATTGCAAAGCATACAAAATTTTACTTCATTTTATTATACGTGACAAAATACATAATAAGTGAAAGCATAATCACCAAATCGTTTTTAAATTAGGAAATTTCAAAAAAAGGTCATATTGTTAAATTTAAATTTCTAAAGAAATATTCCATCTCAGTTCAAAATCGTTCAAATACTTGTGTTCAGTTTAAAAATTAAATTTTTAACTTATATTAAATAAAATAATCAAAGATAACAAATAAATGTAATACTTTGCTCATTGAATTATCTTTGAATAAAACAGTTTAACAATTATTTTTAAAAAGTTTTAGGTTCTCTTAAATTACTTTAAAGATAAGAACATTCACGAGGGGGAGGGAGATTTGAAGCTGTAGTAAAATTTTATTTTTTCTTTTGTTTTCATAATTGATATGGTAGTTAAACTTGAAGAACTGTGGACGATACAAGGGGTACATTTTAAGGGGTATGCATTAATCAGAGGAAATAACATAAAATGTTCACATCTATATGGGTATTTTTAATGTAAATGCTTTTGCTTTTACTTTAATTTCAATATAACTAATACGCATTAGTTTTGAGTATGCTAGCATGATTTTTATTTCAAATTTGGTATGGGTAAATGAAATATTACAAAAAAAAAAATTTCTTTCTTCTTACTCTGACTGAAACCACTCTGAAAATGTCACTTACCTGTTTCATCCACTCAGTTTTTAATTTATGNTGTTCATTGAATTATCTTTGAATAAAAGAGTTTAACAATTATTTTTAAAAAGTTTTAGGTTCTCTTAAATTACTTTAAAGATAAGGACATTCACGAGGGGGAGGGAGATTTGAAGCTATAGTAAAATTTATTTTTTCTTTTGTTTTCATAATTGATATGGTAGTTAAACTTGAAGAACTGTGGACGATACAAGTTAGGTGACATTTTCAGGGGTATTCATTAATCAGAGAAGATAACATAAAATGTTCACATCTATATGGGCAGTTTTATTGTAAATGTTTTTACTTTAATTTCAATATAACTAATACTCATTAGTTTTGAGTATGCTTGCATGATTTTTATTTCAAATTTGGTAGGGGTAATTGAAATATTACAAAAAAAAAAATTTCTTCTTACTCTGACTGAAACCACTCTGAAAATGTCACTTACCTATTTCATCCACTCAGTTTTTTATTTATGGAGACATTTAAAGTTTCTTTTATACCGTTGACGCTCAACCTCAATTATTGCTATGATTTAAAATTTTACTTAAGAAGAAAAATTTTGTGTTTTAATTAAACTTTAAATCTCAACCTCAGTTATTGTAATGATTTAAATTAATTTTTCAAATATTTGGAAATCAATACTTTTTTTAAAAAATTGTCAATACATAATTAACATTGTTAGGAAACCTGTGTCGAATTAAAACATTTATATTTTGCTATTTGTATGAATGACGAAACTGTATTCTGACGTGCAACTGAAAAATCTACGCAAGCGACAAAAAATTCAAAATTGAGATTCTTATATATTTGGCATTTTTGTATGATAAACTACATATTAAAAAAAAATTTTTTATCAGTTTTTAGAAATTCAATTTTGGCATTCATGGCATTAGTAAGAGAAAGAAAATAATTTGTCATGGTTATTCCTCTCTAAATCTTATCATGAAACACGAAAAATTGAAAATTAAGATTCTGATATATGTGTATTTTCTTCGTTATTAGCTATTTATAGAATAGAAGAAAAGCTGATACCACTACAATTATAGCTAATTTTTAGCTATTTTATTCATATGCTTTAATCGTAAAAGAAATCTTGGTAGTTACAGATATTATATTTTTCTTGAAAAAAATTCTAGAACGAAATGTCTTTCGTACCAGTTTTTGCTCTCTTCCGCCTTGATACCTTCTGCCCTAAACCACTTACAGGGATGCCAACTTGCTCCGCTTTGTAAAATAGTATTTTCTAGTGGTTACGAAATTTAAGTTACTTTTAGTTTCATATTTTTCATTTTAAGTAATTTTCACACCACTAATTATCAAAAATTATAAGTATCCTGTAAAATGCAACGTCATAGCATTTATCTGCCTGTACACCTAGCTTTCTTGACTTATACAAAAATAGTTCTCTTAAGTATTTTCTTAAGAGCACTGGACACTTCAACCCCCTTATTTGATCTTCCTCTAACTACGACCCAGATGACCCTAAGTGCAGGAGACGGCCGAAGGCAATTCTCCATTACTATAATAATCTCCAAGACATCGTTTGAGTCGCATTGCTCATTTTTCTATCTTCCTGACTGGCTCCTCATCTCCTCTATCATCATTACCCTTTTCCACATTTTTGGGTTGGCCCAATCCTTCGCAGAATTGCTGCGGCTCATTCTGATTCAATTTACTAATACAACTACTGACAATGCTAATCACTAACTGCTTATTTTTCAATAATTATAAATAAAATATAAATAATAATTTATAATAAATAATTTAATTTTCTTTCATTGTTTATGTTATTACCTGTCTGTGTTATCCCTGTTCTCTCTTCTTTTCCACAATATTATTTAACTACTAACATTAAGTTTACTAACTCAAATAATTTTAATATCAATGGCCTTAGATTCAGTTTGTAATCATATAATTTACGGAGGTGGCCTTTTTGGCCAGGTACTCCGGTGCACCAATTATTAGTTTTCCGCATTCATCTACTGGTTGCTCTATTAAAAAGTAGGCGTAACTATCCTTTTTTTTAACGAATTGTACTAAATATAATTTGTTACCACTTTATTAAAACTATTCCAAAAATCGGAACAATTGGCATCCCTGCACTTACGTTGTTTTTAAAATTGCTCGACAACATAGGTTTTAAATAAAAACCTCATATTTGCACGGATGCCATATGTTACTAAAAATGTAGGAAGTAGAAAAAATTTAAATAATTTTTTTTCTCATTTTATTTAATTATTAAATTATAACTACCACCATGATATGCATTGAAAATTATTCATATTTAAAGCAAACAAATTCCGACCAAAAATCTTTATTTATAAATTGAAAAAGAACATGCAAGAAAAAGTTGTTAATTTTAATCTGTTATAGTAATTATTTGCTTTATTTTTTTATTAATCACCGCTTCTTACACTATTAGCCGACTGTAGCATCCCTGTATTTGTGATTTTTAAGCGTTGCTTTCAAACAAATTATATACAAGAAACCGTGCTGGTCTTCGGGTTGGCCGGGATAAACCTAGTTGGTAGGACGTTAAACTCATGTTCGTGAGAACGGAAGTTTGAATCCCACCGGCGAAAGAAACCCCTTGCATTAAATGGTTACTGGTGAACATTAAACTGTTGTTTTAGTTCGCTGCCACTAGCTAAAATATTTTCAAAAACCTTCAGTGATCGAAGGAATTAACTATATGTTTTCATTCCAGCGCTTTTTTTCAAGACTCAGAACACTCTGTTGTAAAAACCATTAGTAGGAAACTCCAAGATATCATAGGAACAAACAGCCACCCTGATTTACCTCTAGAAGTAGTAAACTTTGGAACAGGAGGTCATTACGAACCCCATCTAGATTTTGAACCAGTGAGTAAAAAGAAATGAGAATATATTGCCAAAAATATTTTACATTTTCAGTTTTAGATGTTTTTTGGGATAGATTGTACTTAATACAATTACATACCTGCCAACTTTTAATCCCTTCCATTATTATTTTTCCCAGTGGTATTAAAATGGAATTAAAAGTTCAATTTTAAGTAAACAAATACGTTGTATTTGAGAAAACTTAAGTTGACAACCATGACAGTAACGCATATTAATATATGTGCTTAATTTTTGTAAGAATAGTGGTGATCAATATCATTTAAAAATTAAGATTATAAAAGAAAAAATGGTATATTATTACTACCACTTTAAATATGAAAATAAAATCTTTCGGAAAATCCGGAAGAGTTGGCAGGTATTCACTCCTTTCGAGAATGGATTTTCCAAGTGGTAGTAAAACAAATACCGAAAATCTATCATCCTCAAGAATATATTTGTATTTTAATCAGGTTGAAATTCGCTATCGTAAGGAAGGAATAATATGTTTTATATATATTTGTTGTAATTATTTATATGTAGTGGTGGTCAAACTGATTTAAAACTATTATTATAATTCAAAAAGTTTTGTGAAATAACATGAATTTCGCTAACACTTTGAATATGAAAATAAAATCTTCCGGGAAAACCGAAAGAGTTGGCAGCTACGCATTTATGTTAACTTCGCTTGATTATTCGATGTATGCCAACCAAGAAATCTTAGCACCAAACAATAAATTAAATAGGTGAGAATAAGTAAAGTCTGATTTGAAATCTGAAAGCGTAGAAAAAAAATTAATTTTAGCTTATTTTCGGAACTAGTTAAATGTATAAAGCAACCAAGATTTTTTTAAATGTTATAACATTCATATGAAACTGTATTTTATCCGTGAAAAAGTAAATCGTGATAACTTTCTTATATTTGAAATTAATAAGAGCTCATTTTACATATCGAAAAATCAGTTATAAATAAAATGGTTTACTAGTATGTCACTTTTTTAAAATTTTAAAGACAAAGTGGTAAGTTCTGATTTTTTTATTATAATTTTTACGATTATTTTAGGCAGTGATATTTGAATATGAGCATATTATTATCAGGGCTGAAACTTACCCCGAATAGAGAAAAAAAAGGTAGAGGAACTGCTCGAGTACTCTGTTGTTTACGGTATTACGGTAAAAATAAATGTTCTATTATTACCATGACCGTGTGGACGTTTTCGAAATAATTATATTTGTCATAATCAAGGACATAAAGTAATAACCAATGAAAATTTCTTTCTTAAAGAATGAAAATACTAAATAAGAATGAAAATACTAAAGAGTGTTACTACGAATTGTATCTCTAATCCGAGTAAGAAAAAGATATTAATGACAAACTTTCATGCAACATTTGAATATGATGAAAACCTTTTAAACTGTTTAAAGGAACTAATTTGAACTATCAGTTATATGATATTTAGGCTAAATTTTAATATTAACCCTTTGAGTACAATTTGACGAGACTCGTCATGCATTTATTACAAATAAATAAAAAGTGGTGAAAAAAATATTTTTCTGTCATTTTATTTAACACGTTCACGCCGGGAAAAGTGAAAATACTGGTAGAAGAACTATTTCAATAATAGATAATATTCGGGAGGAGTTAATCTGTTCTCAACAGTAACAATTCCCTGTAAGGAAATTTATCAAGGCGAAGAAGCAATTCAATATAAAAATTGCATCCTTTATAAACAATTGGTAGCTATGGATTTTTATCATTCCCGGAAAAAAAATGAGAAATGAAATTTATTGTTACCAGTTTTTACTCCAGTGCGCTGCCAAGATGAGAAAATCTAGCGTGACCCACCGGTGGGTCACCCCGTCGTGAACGTGTTAAGAAAGAAATAATGTATTGATAATTACTCTATCTCACTAAATTACAAAGCATTTAGTGAAGGTGTCAGGTTATATTTTGTAACTATTTAACAAAAAAAACTTTTTTAATCAAAAACTTACTACCAGGTTTTTAATTTGGTTGTTTCCTCCCAGTTCGGAATTTAAATAAACCGGATTCAAAGTATTGCTTCTTACAGGTGTCAAATTGACTAACAACTTCAGGAGGGTCAAAACTATCTACATTTGCATACCTGCCAACTTTTTATCCTTTCGAGGATGATTTTCCCCAGTGGTAGTAGTACACTAGAATTTAAATTACAACTTAAGGCAGAAACATACGCTGAATTTTAAAAGACTTAGACGGAAAATAAAAACTGCATACCTGCCAACATTCATTCTTTTCGAGAATGGATTTTCCAAGTGGTAGTAAAACAATTACCGAAAAACAGTTTTACTCAAAAAGGTATTTATATTTTAACCAGGTTGAAATTTGCTATCGTGAGGTCTAATATGCTTTCCATATATTTGTTGAAATTATTTATGTGTAGTGGATGTCAAACTCTTTTATAATTATTAACATAATTCAAAAAGTTAAGTGAAATAACATGAATTTTGCACTTTAAATATGAAAATAAAATCTTTTAGGAAAACCGGATAAGTTGGCAGGCATGATACTGTATAACATATTAATATATATGCTTAATCTTTTTAAATATAGTGGTGGTCAAATTATATATTAAGTTTATAATTTATAATATTGTAAGTTTTGGGAAAATACAGCAAGCGTACATTTTACTACCACTTTAAATATAGAAATAAAATTTTGTACCAAATGCGTAAAAGTTGGCAGGTATGCTTGATATATTTTGCACCTTTAAGCTACTTTTTAAGTTGTTATAATAATAATCAAAACAATGTGTGATTGAATTTTTATATTTATTTTCGTTGTTTTTTTATTAATTTACTATTTTTTATTCAAGTAGTTATTAATTTAATAAAAAATTTTATAACTTCAAAACTCTTATAACTTTAGATGAGTGAGCAGCAGGTAGATTCTCAAATGGGATATCCTCTTGCTACTTGGATGGTGTATGTAAGTTTTCTAAAATATTCTGCACCTATCAGTTAAGTTTTTTGTAGCCGAAATGTTTCCTAAAAATATATTATTATACTTTGTCAACTGTTAGATTACTCCGTCTATTTTAAAAGTATATGTATTTTATTAATGGTAAGCTGTTTTTCTTTATTTTAACTTTCTTTCAATTATAACTTATTATTAATTATAATCATGTTATGAATGTTTTTTGAGGCATCGATGCATTATAAAGATTGATTTTTATATTAGGACAGCTATTCTTTACTTTGAAATGCCTCTTTTGTGAAAGAATGCATCCTAAAGAGAACCTTTACGTTACTTCCTAATTCTATTACGTGTAGAATTTTATGTATATATATGTGCTACCACCTAAAATATAATACTGAGCTAAGATTTAGTTCATATATAAGGTTTATTTTAGTGAATAACCCAGCATAAGATATTAATTATTTTATGACTTGTGAACACAGGAATAACCTGTTCTGTCCCGAATTTATATATTGAAATGATACAAAAAGTGGTTTTATGGAAAAAGTGGTATAATATATTATCGAAATTAATTGGTTTTTCTACTGTTAGGGCATTCAAAAAGTCTTTGATTGATTGAAAAGTACTTGCTCCTTACAATTCTAGATCTAATCAGAAATAACTAAATCATTGTGATATCTGAGAATCTTTTTAATTCACCCAGATAAATGAAAATACTGAAAAAAGTTTCCCATCACAATGAATATCTTTGAAAAAGGGAACTGTCCTAAATATATGACGCTGGGCGTTAACCGATTAACTATTATAGACGAATCAGTTAGTGGTGCTTCGCACTAAATACTGCGATATCACCAATATCCAGCATAGTTTAGTGAATAAGAAAATTATAAAAATCTATAATTTTCCTAATTAATACTTTATGAAATAAAAAATTGAGCTGAGATATAGTTCATATGTTAGCTATATTTTAGTGGGTAAGACATATATTAACACGTTGAATTCCATGGGGGTCACCGGTGACCGACACTGAGATTGCTCGTAGCGTCACGGGGTTCACCGGTGACTGGCGAAGTAAAGATCATTAGAAACACATAATTTGAGTACATTTTTAATTTGTTTCATATAATTATCGCTACTAAAATGATTTGACGAAATTAATGCGATATAGAACACACAAAAATAGTTTTATTTATATACACAGAGATGCCAACTTGCTCTTGACAGCGAATAAATATTATCAACTGGTAATTTAATAATTGTGATTCTTGGTTTGATAAATTCAATTTAGTAGATTTTTATCCACCACTATTTCTAAATAATTCGACGGCTTATATAATTCACCACTTTATAGTACTTTAGTCATGCTATACCTTTTCTTTATAGTACTTTAGTCATGCTGTACCTTTTATAAAGCAAGCAACAATACTCAAATGTTTGCAAAATTTACTTTGTAGTTATTTACCGTTTGTTTTAATTATTTATGAATGTCCGGAGCAGTTGGCATCTCTGCTAATTTGAACTTGAACTAAGGTGAGATACAGAGTACCTGTCCGCGAAGTGGACAATTGACTCTTTCATCGAAGATTGTGCCCGTGGGCACCTGAAATAATGTCTATAAGGGTGTAGGATTCCACAGTGGGGCTGTGACTGTCTTGGTGGGCGTGGCCTGGTGGGGTAAATGCTAATTTGTCTATGCCTATGTGAGGTGGGTATCTATAAATCTTCCGGAAGAGTTGGCAGGTATGCCTTAGTCATGCTATACCTTTTATAAAGCAAGCAACAAAAGTCAAATGTTTGCAAAATTTACTTTGTAGTTATTTACCGTTTGTTTTAATTATTTATGAGTGTCCGGAGCAGTTGGCATCTCTGCTAATTAGTCAAAATATTACTTTGTGAAATAGTATCTTTATTTCAGTAACAAAGTGGTAGTATTATCACAGCAGTAAATTTGTTTTTGAAGAAATTTTTGCAATTAAAATTCAGAAATATTAAAGACTTTATTAATATTATTAACACGTTCACGCCGGGAAAAGTGAAAATATTGGTAGAATAACTATTTCAATATTAGATGATATTCGGGAGGAGTTAACCTATTCTCAGCAATAACAATTCACTGTAAGGAAATTTGCCACTTCGAAGAAGCAATTCAATATAAAAATTGCATCTGTTAAAAACAATTGGTAGTTATGGATTTTTATTATTCCCGGAAAAAAACTAAAAAATGAAATTTATTGTTACCAGTTTTCACTCCGGTGAGAAAATCTAGCGTGACCCACTGGTGGGTCATCCCGGCGTGAACGTGTTAAAAATAACTTTTGCTTCGGCTTAAATATTTGCCTTGAGTGCTACCCATATGTTGTTTCGACAATCTAATTACTAAAAAGATATTTTTTAGTTAAATTTCTACACATTCACAGTTAATACTGTCTATTTTTTTTATTGTTTTCGTTTTTATTACTGATATCTATTTATTTGTGTTTGCGATTAGCGCATTTTATTTTCTTTCTTCCTTTTAGTTGAGTGACGTAATATCAGGCGGATCAACCGTGTTTACAGAAATTGGTGTTGAAATCAAACCAAAAAAAGTAATTATTTTTTTTTATTGTATTAGATTTTCAATTTAAAGATAATTTAATTTTTACTCACTTCTCAAAATTCGGATTACGTATTTCAAAACATGTATGGTTATATCTTGCTTATATAGCCGGCCAGGTGGTCGAGCGGTTAGCGTGCCTGACTGCGAAGCATATATGGCAACGTTACTTTTAAAAAGTAACGAGTAAAAGTACAAGTATTTTTAAAAAAAGTAACGAGTAAAAAGTAAAAAGTTCTTATTTTAAAAAGTAACGAGTAAAAAGTACAAGTAAAAGTACAAGTACTAAACAAAAAAAAGTAATCCCCCATCTTGTANCGTGAACGTGTTAAAAATAACTTTTGCTTCGGCTTAAATATTTGCCTTGAGTGCTACCCATATGTTGTTTCGACAATCTAATTACTAAAAAGATATTTTTTAGTTAAATTTCTACACATTCACAGTTAATACTGTCTATTTTTTTTATTGTTTTCGTTTTTATTACTGATATCTATTTATTTGTGTTTGCGATTAGCGCATTTTATTTTCTTTCTTCCTTTTAGTTGAGTGACGTAATATCAGGCGGATCAACCGTGTTTACAGAAATTGGTGTTGAAATCAAACCAAAAAAAGTAATTTTTTTTTTTTATTGCTTAAGATTTTCAATTTAAAAATAATTTAATTTTTACTCACTTCTCAAACAGCACTGTTAATAAAATTCGGATTACGTATTTCAAAACATGTATGGTTATATCTTGCTTATATAGCCGGCCAGATGGTCGAGCGGTTAGCGTGCCTGACTGCGAAGCCAATGACTGTGGGATCGAATCCAGTTCAGGGCATGGACGTTTCTCCAAGTGTGTTGTTTTCTAATTAATACCAATATTCTCCGACATCATTTTGTCACTGAAGGTAACCCCTAGGAATGACCTACCACCATTAACCCCTTGGGGACTGGTGAGTCAGAAAAGCATTCGTACAAAATCAGAATCAAGTTATAATTAAATTAAAAACGGTAACTTAAAAGTAGTCGTTTCTAATTTGACAGACTTAGTTTGCTTTTACTTTAATTATTGTTTGTTTAATCATTTATATAATCAATGTTAATTCAAAGTATAACTAAATAGTTTTATTTTGAACAAAGTAATGGTGAATTAAATAAATCAAACAATTATAACTCCGCCCACAAATAAACTGCTAAAGAAATAGTTTGATTACCAGTTTTATTTTTTTACCCTGGTTGATACGGTTTTATGCTGGCACATATTTGTGACAGTCGGCGAGAAAGTGTTAAAGACCATTTGACAGTGAAACAGAGAGTATACAATGAAATAGAAGATACAATAAAACCTCGCTCCCGAGAGGTTTCATTGTATCTTCTATTTAAAAAACCGAAGATTAAAAAATGTCTAAAGTTGAGATTAAAAAAAAGATTAAAAGTTCAATATCGTCTCCGAGTGCTTTATTTTG